GCGGGGCTTGTTGCATGTGCCCGCCCCCTGAGCCCCTTACTGCCGGAGCTCCGCTCCTGTGCGCTCCCGCAGGAAATGACCCCTGCTCACAAGACTCCACAGCTTAGAGGGAGCATTGCTCTGGAGTAGGCCAGGAGGCGGGTGTTTCCAGTTTGAACAACACGGAGGGCAGGCTTCAGAGCAGAAAAATCTAGACCGTTGTGCTTAGCAAAGGGAGCGCTGGCTCTCAACAGCTCATGCCCCGAAAACCTTGTGGGTCTCTAAGGTGTGGTGGGACCCAAATTTAGCTAATCTGGAACATTTGCAGGAGGAGAAGAACAGGCGTTCCCCCTTCACCAGCCACTTCCCCTTCGCCGGCAACCCTCGGCTCTGTCCCCAGGGGCTTCCTGGACATATTGTTTTGGGGGGAGACTACTGCCCCTCCCCAATTGCTCTTCTTGTTTTGCAGAAAGGGGGCCCGCTGGCCATGTGGAGAGGAATCAGGGACCCTTCTGCGAGGCAGCTGCCATCCAGCAGGCGGCCCGAGGTCCTTCACGTCTGTGTGGTGGGCCAAAACCCGGCTGGTGTGGCTTCCCCCTCCCGCATGGAAGCGACATGGGTCCCGCTCCCCAGCAGCCCCTAATTACCTTCCTTGCTCTTTTGCTGTGGGGGCACCTCAGCCACGAAACACTCAAATCTTGGCTGCTTCCCAAATCCAGCCTCCTTCAGCTCTGGGGAGGAAGGAAGAAGGGGGGGGTTGTTAGTTCAGAAATCAGAAGCATCCCCTGTCCAATTGACAGTCGGTGGGGAAGAGTGCCAGGGAGAGGGGGAGGGGGGAGGGAAAGCACACCCAGCCGCTTTGGGTTGCCTACTGTTTAAGCAACCGCTGCTTGAACAGCCTCCCGACCAGGAGAGCAAGGGATCTTGCTCATCGTCCGAAACTTTGCCACCTGTGCAGTTCAAGGTAGGAGACCAGGCCAGGAAAGGAGCCAGCCAGCCCTGCACAGGAGGATCGGTGCAGAAGACCAAATACGGGAGACTCACACAGACCCCTCCAGTCCCGGCAAAAGGTTCACACAGGTCCAAAGGCACACACACCCCCAGACAGCCCCCTACCTTCCACGTTGGTTCTGAGCTCGTTCAGGGGAACCTTGTAAATGACCGCAATCTCCTGCAAAGCAAAGACCGTGGAGGCTCAGGGTGAGAGTGTGCAGGTATGATAACACCCATCCCGCCCCCCCCCTTCCAAATCATACATCTCCTTAGCCTCAGAGTGCCTGCTGTGGTCGCCAAGAGGGTTCTCGTTCTCTGGGCCAAGAGTGTGGTTCTTACTCAAGGCTAGCCCAGGAGATTTTGGCACTCTTTGTTCCAGATATCCAGTTTGGTGTCGTGGCTAAGTGCACATACTCTAATCTGGGAGAACCAGGTTTGATTCCCCACTCCTCCACTTGCACCTGCTGGATGACCTTGGGCAAGCCATTGTTCTGATAAGAGCTGTTCTTGCAAAAGAGCAGTTTCTGCCAGAGCTCTCTCAGCCCCACCCACCTCACAGGGTGTCTGTTGTGGGGAGGGGAAGGGAAAGGAGTTTGTAAGCCGCTCTGAGACTCCTTCGGGTAGTGAAGGGCGGGGTACAAATCCAATCTCTTCTCTTCAATCACCAGGAGCCCTGAATCCCACAGAACCTCTCCTGTAGACCCCGTTCCTTCTAGGAGAACATCTTCCCAGACGGGGCTTGTGATGGGCCAGCACAGGCAGTCTGTCTCCTCCTCTGCTCCATCATGGTCCCCTTATCCTGACTCAGTCAGTTTATTCCCCAGCAGCAAAAGAAGAAGAAATTGGATTTATCCCCTGCCCTTCATGGCCCAAGGGAGTCTCAGAGCGGCTCACAATCTCCTTTCCCTTCCCCTCCCCACAACAGACACGCTGTGAGGCAGGTGGGGCTGAGAGAGCTCTTGACACAAACTGCTCTTTTGCAAGAACAGCTCTTGTTAGAACTACGGCTTGCCCAAGGTCATCCAGCAGCTGCGAGTGGAGGAGTGGGGAATCAACCTCGGTTCTCCCAGATTAGTGTCCGTGCACTTAACCACGACACCAAACTGGCTCAAAGGGAAACGGGCCATGAATCCTGAGCTCTAGCTCTGGAAGCAGCCTCCGCCCCTGCTTTCCCTCCTCTCCCTCACCTTAATTAAGCGCATAATATCCGGGAGATCTCTGGGAGTGCAGGGGCGCACCACACAAGCCATGGCTTCCTGCTGCCTCTCTCCCTGCTGGGCTCCCTTCAGCCTTCTTAAGGGCCGGAGGATTGTGTAACCCACGCGGGTCACTCTTTGCCTCAGTGACTTCTTTGGTGGTGAGGCCAAGAGAGCTTAATAATCAAGTCAGTCTCCGGGAGGGAGGGAGCTGGCCTCTCCGGTCATATGATCTCAGGACCAAGTAGCGAAGACTGCCCCATCTGGGTTGGAAAATTCCTAGAGATTTTGGGGATGGAGCCTGGGGAGGGCAGGGGAGCCATTGACTCCACCCTCCAAAGCAGCCATCTTCTCCAGGGGGACGGTCCTCTATAGTCTAGAGGGCCATTGTAATTCTGGGGCAGCCCCAGGCCCCACCACTCCTGTAATGTATCCAGTTCTGACCGCGTGGCCGACTGGGGCTCCACGTGGTCAAGTGCAACCGTTGAGCTTCGTTTCAGGAAACAATGGACTAAGCGGATCCTAGCCCGCACCTCTCCAAGGGCTAGGTTCCTGGCCGAGATCCTATGGAACTCTCAGCCACTGTAAATAGCCTATTGCGGTGTGGGGTGTGTGTGTTTTGGGTGGTGGTTTCACAGGGGATATAAGCCGGCCTGCGAGCCGGCTAAAGTTGTCTTGTTCCTCACGAATAAAAGTACGTCAGCTGAAGTAACTCGTCTGTCTGTGTACTTTTCAACTCCACTATTTTCCCCAAATGTCCGTGTTTTTCCCGGAGCAGCTATTTTCCTCTCTAGGGATAAATCACACACAACCACAAAGTACAATGTGGCGGGAAGGAATTATGTTACGCTTCCTCTTTTAAATGGCTCGCTTCATGTCGTCTGGACTGTAGATGGGGAAATTGGACCACTCTCGGGGGCCGTAACTTAATGGTGGCAGTGCCCACAGCCCCGAAGAAAGGAATCTGGATCAGGGTTGGGGATGCTGGAGGGGGGCTCAAGCTGTTACTAGTCACAAGTAGAGGAAACAGACAGGTACAAGGTGAGTAGGGTAAAGGTAAAGGTCTCCCTTGCTGGAAAGCCAGTCGAATCCGACTCTAGGGGGCGGTGCTCATCTCCATTTCCAAGCCGAAGAGCCGACGCTGTCCGAAGACTTCTCCATGGTCATGTGGCCGGCATGACTAAACACCGAGGTGCACGGAACACTGTTACCTTCCCACCGAAGCGGAACCTATTTATCTACTTGCAATGTCTTGCTTTCGAACTGCTAGGTTGGCAGGAGCTGGGGCCAGAGACGGGAGCTCACTCCGTCATGCGGCACTCGGGTCTCGAACTGCCAAACTACCAACCTTCCAGCCCGCAGCTCAGCGTCTTAACCTCTGAGCCCTCAACTCATAAAAAATGGTGTAGTACTGCGTAACTTCAACCGGTCATGGGAGGATACCTGACTTTGTCAAAACCCTTTTTGTCTCATTGGCATGACTTGAGCACACATTTGCTCTGGCAATGTAAGGTTAGGAAGTGGCCCGGGGCCTGATCCAACATAAGAACATAAGAGAAGCCAATGTTGGATCAGGCCAACGGCCCATCTAGCCCAACACTCTGTCATGCAGTGGCCAAAAATCACTTGCCCCAGGCCGAGAGTTCCTATCTAGACCTTGTGACTCATAGCCACTGATGGACCTCTGCTCCTGATGTTTATCTAATTCCCTCTTGAAACCATCCAGGCTTGTAGCCGCCACCACCTCCTGTGAAGAAGGACTTCCTTTTATCCGTTCTAACCCGACCGGTCAGCAATTTCATGGAGTACCCACTGAGTTCTTGTGTTGTGAGAAAGGGAGAAAAGGACTTCTTTCTCTATCCCATGCGTAATCTTATAAATCTCGATCATGTCACCCATCAGCCGCCATTTCTCCAAGTTAAAGAGCCCCAAGCGTTTTAACCGTTCTTCACAGGGAAAGTGTTCCAGCCCTTTTATCATTCTCGTTGCCCCCTTTCCCCTCATTTTACAGTATCAGATTACCCACATCATGTCTGGACATTGACCTGGACACCTCGATGATGCCAATCTGAGGAGCGGGCAAGGAATGGGACCAGCGAGACCTGGCACAGCCAGGTTTACCAAGGAAGAGGCTGGCACCAGAGTGATAGAGCAAAGGGGTACTGACCCAAAGAAAATCTGCTGGCACCAAGTCATTGACCCATCACCTGTTTCCTCTAATGGTTTGCTAGCAAAATATCCTTACTGCCTTCCAAAAAACCTTCAGTCAAAGAGTTCCAAGACTGTTCCTTGGCTGGTTTACTCTTCCAGCTCCCTCCCTACTTCTGGATCACCGTTTCCCTCCTTCCCTGCTGACCAGACCACAGTCCCCTTCTCCACCCCCCACGGGTGCACGGGTGCAACCAAGCAGAAAACGGACACAGGAGTCCTCGGAGAAGGGTCAGAGTTCCCTGGGCAGGCAGCAGAGTGGAAGCGAGAAGGCGCCCTGGAGCCATGAGCTACATCATCCGCCCCTGGGCCCTGAAAGACCTCAAGGCCGTCGTGCGGCTTATTAGGGTGAGAAGCTGTTGGGGGGGGGGAGGTTAGAACCCCAGAACAGAGGAGACAGGGAGGGCAGAGGAGGCTGAAAGGCGGACCAATAGATGAATTTGCCCCCCCCTCCAGATTCTGGTTTGTTTTTGGTCTGGGTGGGTGGGCAACGGGGGGGGGGAAGAGTGGTTGGGCTAAGAGGCCCAGATGCAAATCTCCGTTTCTGCTGTAAAGCTCGCTGCGTGACTCACTCACTCAGCCTAACCTACCTCACAGGGTTGTTGTGAGAGTGAAATAGGATTATGGCATAAACTCCTTGGAGGAAGGAGGCGATAAAAGTGTGCTGGACGGACAGACATTTATTTGGATGGGCTAGGCTGCCTATTTCGTAAGACCTTTACGATTCTCTGGAAAACATTCCCTGAAGATCTGATAGGCAAGCCGAAGGTTCGCACTTGTGGTCCGGCGAGTCCTTTTCAGTCACCTGTGTAAGGATGCTGTCTGGCCCTTGCTGGGTTTAAGGGCACTCAGATGAGTTTTCTGGAGGGTGGGGAAGAGGTTGGTCACTGTGATGCCAGTGAGGGACTCCTGGAAATCCGCTTTCCCAGAGACTCTGGGGGGGATCTGCCCGGATGCCGAAGCATCAATGTATCCCGTCTTGATCTGTTTCAGGAATCGGCTTCTCTTCACAAAGCCCTGGACCAGGTGAAAACGACCCCAGAGAGTAAGGAAGGGGGCTATATATTCCGTCATCGCCATTCCTCAGTCAGACTGTTGCTGCCTTAGTGTTTGTTGTGTCCTACTAAAGCGTGGAGTGCCTTCTCCCCCAAGAGAACCCAGGAGTCCCGGATCTCTGCCCAAGACCCCTCCCGGCCCATTTTTCTCCCTCCAGAAGGACCCCCAACCGGACTCTACTCTCTTTCCCATCCTGGATTGTGTTTTCCTGAACTCAGAAGTTTGGGCAAAGCAGAGCAGCTGCGTTTCCTCTTCTCCTGTAAACATTTGACACGGGGGGGGGGGTTTGTGGCCCATTGGCAGGCCCTCGGCGTGCTGAGCACTGGTCCCTCTTGGGGATTCCTGCAAAGAACAGGGATGAGGTGACCAGGCAAGGCCGTTCTTGGGTTGGTAAGCCACCCTGGATCAGTGACGGCATGGCTGCAAAAAGAGATCCAGAACAGACTGGCTCTCCAGCTTTGGTGTTGTGGTTAAGTGAGTGGACTCTAATCTGGGAGGACCGGGTTTGATTACCCACTCCTCCATTTGCACCTGCCAGATGACCTTGGGCAAGCCGTAGTTCTGACAAGAGCTGTTCTTGAAAAAGAGCAGTTTCTGTCAGGGTTCTCTCAGCCCCACCTGCCTCACAGGGTGTCTGTTGTGGGGGAGAGGAAAGGAAAGGAGAGAAGAAGAAGAAGAAGAAGAAGAAGAAGAAGAAGAAGAAGAAGAAGAAGAAGAAGAAGAAGAAGAAGAAGAAGAAGAAGAAGAAGAAGAAGAAGAAGAAGAAGAA